CCATTGTGAAGCCTCTAGCTTGCCCTTGGCATCAGCTGTATGCTCATGCTTGGACTCCTCCTTTTCATAGGCAACTTCTTGCTCCATGCCAAACTGCCATTCATCAGGGTCCTTTGGGTCTTTCTGGACTGGGATGGTTCCCTTTCTGACCTGAGAATGCAAGGCCAAAAGGTTGCAACATCATGAGGCTTCAGTGGCCAAGTTGCTCTGCGCATGGCTTCATGTAGCCCATACCTCTGCAAAATGGTTGCTAGAGGAACCCATTCCTTCTTCTGCTTGGTGCCTCAGAGAAAAACATGCTTCAAAGCAGTGGCCAACACACAATTCAGAAATTCAATCAATTCTGGCAAGCAAAACCATAACCAAAATTTGCAAGGGAACACAATTCTTTGACAGCCAAAAGCTCCTGGGTACCACATGGTCCAAGAGGGCTGGTTGCTGGCTGTGCTTCTTGGCATTTCTGCTGGCTGTGCCACTGGTTGTTGCCAGTACTGCCACCCCTGTTGCTGTGGCATTTGCTGTTGCCACAGCTGGTACTGCTGTTGGTGGAACTGCCATTGCCAGTAAGCAGCCTTCTCTTCTGCTTCCTTTTTTGCCCTCAAGCACTCTTGTTTTTCTTGCTCCTCCCTGGCCCTTCTTTCCAACCTGTTGTATCTGCTCTGGCCCATGGCAGCTAACCTGAGCGTCTGCTTCTTTTCTTCTGTCATCTCCTCACCCCTCTCCAAGGCTTGTGCCTCCAGCTGTTGGAGGAGTGATTTCTCTCTCCTGGAGCCATTGGGCCCATAAGCAACCCACCACTGGTCATTCTTGTTCCACTTATCCTTCCAGCCCCACCCTGGGTTTTTGTGGGTGTGCCACTTTTGATGCCAGCCATATTCCTTTTCTCTTTTGCTTCTGCTGTCTTCAGGTGAAGAAGATCTGTCCCAATCTGCATCATCAGCCATGACCCTTTCTCAGGGCTTACCTTTTTGCAAAGCTTCCTGGGGTTGAACCCTGTACAAACCCTGTGTCCAGGGCCAGCTGCTGCTTGAGCAAAGGCTTTGGCACACACACACAAACTGTTTACTCTTGCGCCACAAAGCTATAGCTTGAGGTCTTCCAAGTTCAAAACCAAATCAATCACCAAACTCAATTTTGTACCTTGCACCCTAAGCTGCAAGCAGACCATTTTTCAAGGCCATTCCCTTTCCCAGGGCATGAAGTGCAGCACCCCCTCTCTTGTTCAAGGTCATACCATGTTTCAGTGCTTTTCCCTTTCTCAAGGACATAGTGCCCTTTTTCAGGGCTGTACACTTTCTCAGTGCACTCGGGCAATGTCTTTTCAAGGTTTCAGTAAACACACTTCATTTCTTATACTTTGCAAACAGTTTGCCCCTCAGCCAACACAGACCTTTTAGTTGCACCTTCCTTTTTGCAAGCAGGGAGCAAAAGCTCCATCACCCTTCTGTGGCCTTTTGTCAAGGCTGATGCTTGGTTGGTGGCGCATGCAACCACAAGCTTCAGGCTGGTGCCAGGCCCTCCAGGCCTGTGTTGGATGTAGGATTGTGATTTCCCACCACCCAAGACCAAAGAGGACTGCTCCAAGGGGTCATCCAATCCCCCATCACTCTTCTTAGTGGAGCTTGCCTTTGTGGCAGGCTTCTTTTCTGTTTGTGCTGCTGGCCTCTTGAGTGGTTTGCCTGCCTGGTTTCTCCAGTCCTTCTTTAGCACTGGCGGTGGTGATTCAAGCAAAGAGTCACCAAATTCTTCCAGCACAGAACTCTCACCACTATCACTGCCAAAACCAGTGTCCTCCTCTCCTGAAACAGATGCAGCCACCATTGCAGGGAAGCCTTTGCTGTCTGTAGTGATCTCAGTGTCTGTCTTCTTGAGAACCTTCATAGGAGGAGCTGCCCTTACAGGCCTGACATCAATCACCATGGCCACAGCTTGGTCATCTAGGCGTGAGCAAAACGTTGCCCATGCCTTTTCATCTTTGGTGACTCTTCTCCAGTGGTTCAGCAGCTGCTTTGCCTGCAAGGACATGTTGCTCACCAGACCAGTGACACAGCAATTCTTTTCCAAACTTGTTGCTCATGGCAGTGAGGCTTTGCCTCAAAACCTGTACTTTATTTTGAAGCTTGGCTCCACAGTGCCCAAGCATTTCAGAAGCTGGCTTGTTTTCACCAATGATCTGCTGGACTCTGCCTGCTGCACAGATAAGCTGTGGTACTCATGCAGGTTCAGTGCCTGCCTGATGCCCACCTTCCTTATGTATGAACCCAAACAATCATCCAACTTCTCTTGAGATACTTCAGGGAAGCTTTCCCTGACATGTGGCCTTGAATTTCCTCCACCTTTTTTCCTTTTCCTCAGGGCTGGCTTCATTAAAGACATCTGACCCTTTCACAGGGCTCACCCTTTTGCAGGGCACACCTTTTTCCCAAAGCCTTTTGTGCACACATATCAGAATGCACCCATAGAAGCCAAAACAGGCTGCATGACAAGCACACATTGCACAAAGCAACTGCTTTCCTTCATGTTGCTCCACCAAGCCTTCCTCACACTGGATTTCCTTTTTTTTGCTGGCTTTTGTCAGGGCTTCAGACACCTTTTCTCAAGGCAATGCTTTTCCCCAAGGCTTCACCTTTCTCCAAGGCTTCCCCTCCACACTGTCCCCAACCATCAATACTAGGACTCTGAGACTGAGTGGAGTGTGAAGACTGAGACTCTGAGACTGAGTGGAGTGTGAAGACTGAGACTCTGAGACTGAGTGGAGTGAGACTGTGTTGGAGTGTGGGTGAGAATGATGGAGTGACTGGTACTCCCTTTCACCTCCACAGTCTGAAGCCATGGGTTTGGAAGTCATCTCTCCAGGGTCTCTGGCACATGTAGCACCTGATCTGCAAATTACCCATGTAGAATTGGCCCAATTTTTAGGCCCACACCCACCCAACACAGCCATCTGTGGCACACTGCACAAAATGCCACCAGTAAGGCCTGAAGGTTGTCAAGCCATCCAAGGGATCCAGCTCAAGCATCCTCCACCTTTTTCCAAGGCTGCACTTCTTCAGTGCTTTCCACTCCTTCCTCAAGAGGTAGCTTGCGTGGGCCAAGAAAAACCGCCAAAAACCAGGCAGACATGCTCAATTCCCTTTGTAAATTCTGGGTGTTGGTGAGCAAGCATGTTGCATGGCCTTATTGGTTTGTATTTCATTTCAATAATCTTATTGAAATGTGTTTCAATAGTCTTATTGAAATATTTCAATAATCTTATTGAACCACATTTCAATAAGATTATTGAAATGTTTCAATAAAACCAATGTTTCAATAGTGTGATCACAAACCAATAACTTTATTGAATCTTTTCAATAAGGCGTACTTAGGGTTGGCACTATGTTTCGTCAGTGGATCAGCTTAAACAGTATTCACTTGTCACGTGGCTTAAGTCGTGAAGTTGGCCGGTGTTGCTCTCACGTCTCATCATCTGTGTTAGGTGGTGTGTCTCCTTTTGCTCGGGCAAATGTGTAGTTTGGGCCGTGGTGACGAGGTTATTTGCATCTGCACGGATGTGTAGAGTGGGCTACCTTCACCGACTCAGCTGTTGCGAGCACCAAGCTAAGTGTGCGTCGCCACAGAATCCCACTGCGGGCTGTGGTGTAATCCCCATCGAGGGGCGCAGCATGGGGGACCTCCTGTGAACTTCTTTCTGATTCTCACTAGCTTAGAACGCCGCGGGGCTTACTGAGATTGAATGCCGCAGGGCTTACTGTCTTCCCTGCGCATGCGCGAACCACGAAACGACACGAAACCAACTCAGAGTACGGTCGACCATGACGGGAGGGGAGTGAGAAACATGAGGCCTTTAGGTATCAGGTGAAGCTTTAGTCAAGGGAGCACCGTATACGGCCAAACGTGACGCGCGGGGAGTGAGAAATGTGAGGCCTTTAGGTATCAGGTGAAGCTTTAGTCAAGGGAGCGCCGTATACGGCGAAACATGACGTGAGGAGAGTGAGAAACGCGAGCGGGTTTCTCGTTAGTTCCGTTTGGTTTTTCTTTCCTGCGGTTGCTTGTCGTTTTCTTGAGGCCTTTCTTTAGGTTTCAGGTGTCTTTCAGTCAAGACAGCGCCGGTTACGGCAGTGCCTTAGGGCCACACACACACACCCTCCTTGCACGAGAATTCACAATTTTTATCCCACCCGCTATTTATAGTAACAGAAGGAAGTCGCACTCAACACACTTTTGTGTTGGTGCCTTTCCTTCTGTTTCTCCTGTGCCAGTCCTTCCTACCCGGCGGTCTAAGACTAAAGTCCCGCTCGCTAACTAGTGCACCTAATTCATTCGGCTAAGTAGTCAGTCACTAGAAGGTTCTTAACTAGTGGGCCTCGTAACTCCTCCTATCTTTCTCTCTTGCCCTCTTCGTTTGCTCTTCTGTTTTTCTTTGCGTTTCTTTCTAAGGCTTGTTAGGTGGCTAGTAATTCTCTGGAGCGCCGATATCGGCGTGGTGTGTGTGTGTGTCAGAGCCTGTTTCTAAGGCTACACACATTGTAAACTATTTCAAAACCAAAATGCTTAAAGGCTAGAACGAGGCAGGGGTGCAGAGATGATGCAGGGGGGCAGTGGTCCTTTCAGCAGTCACTGCCTAACAAAGACACTGCAGCATTCATCCAGTTTTGGTTAAACAATGCTGTTCTGGCCGACCTTCTAACCTCTCCGTTGCGAGCAGGGCCATTTCCAGGTTGAGGTTCCAGCGCTCTAGATCGGTATCGTATTCACTAGAGTGGGCTACCTTCACCGACTCACCTCTTGCGAGCACCAAGCTAAGTGTGTGCGAGTGTATATATATATATTTTTTTTTGATGCTGTCACTTGTGCAAGTCTTTCGCGGAAGCGTCTGCTCAGCTCAGCAATCATACAAGGAACATGAAAAATAGAACCTGATTCAAGTGTGATCAACTTGAAAGGGAAATACGTCTTTTGCTGACAGGTTCACAAAAGAAAAACATCCCAGGGCCCAGGGCCTTTCATCGTCAAAGGCACGGCCCAAGTATTCCAGCTGCCGGGGCCCTCGAGGCGGGGACCTGGCTAGGTGAGAACAAGGAGGGCCAGTTTGCCAGTCTGGTTTCCGCTTCTATTGTAGGGACTCTGACCTCCGGAGTTTTTTGGAGCTTTCAAATTCAGTTGGAGAGGCCAACGTCACAAATCCTGTTCTTTCAAGGCAAAGGAACACACCGGGATCTTTTGGTCATAGCGTTGGGTAAACGCAGGGCACACATCCTCGTCGGCAAGACTTGTTGTTGTTGTTGTTGCTGCTGTTGTTGTTGCGGGCACCCGCAGCCCAAGCCCCTGCCTCGTCAACATCACGACAGCAGAAAGACCACAGGCGGACATGAGGATGACAACAGAGGACAAAATAATAGGGGGGGATAAATGCCAAATTTCATAATTAGAGGGTTTTAACTTGGAGATATTGTTTTATCTCCTGGGTCAAGTTGTTACGGATTGAAAGCACTGACGCAGCAAAACTGGTTTAGAATATGGTTTTGGTCTTTCGGTGCGCCGCTTTGCGAATCTATTGGCTCAAAACAACAAGTTTCACATGTGTATCAGGAGGAAGGGAGGGTCGGGTCGGAGTCAGAGGTTAAGCAAAAAGCCGGCAGGAAACAGATGCATACAGCTGCAGCGCACATAGATCTGCTAGGTCTGGTAAGTGCTACTGCTAAAGCGAAGATGCCCTACCCTACACACATGTAACAACATCTGAATCTAGTTCTCATTCACTAGAGATATGTTCAGCCTTCAGTGGCTTTCGGCCTCCTGCCATGAAGTTTGATTTACTTCTCTCGCAGCAGCATTATGCCACTGGTCTTGGGGTCAAGCCCTGGCGAGTATGAAACAGAGATCCGCTCTAGATGCCAAGAAGTTTATGAACTTCTCCTGCAGTGTTCAAGACCTGTGCTGCTGCATGGCAATGAATTGGAAGTGGCTCGGCTCAGCTATGTTGATTCGGGACAGTCCAGTCAATGTCAAGACAAAAGACAGGGGACATGACATGACATGTGGAAAGTGAAAAATGAAACTAGTCAGTCAGACAGTCAGTAACCGTGTTTGATATACGTTTTTCTCGACGTCCTGTACGTAGGGACACATGTGTTTCAGCAGACAAGTGACAAGTGACCAAAGTGACAATATCAGTTGATTAGGGCTGTGCACAGGTCAACTCCTTCCGAGATGCTGCATTGAAAGTTATCGAGATGATGCACGCCTCATCCTGAGTAATTGTGCATCCAGATTCACTCTCGAACAGAAAGAAATTTACAACTGCATGTGTGAGAGGGTGACCAGTGAGTATACGATGCACATGTGACATGTCAGTCTGCTTGTCTGTCTGTAAACTGCAAACTGCACTGCCCAGGCGAGGTCTTACCAATGCTCAGATGCTCTGCAGGCAGCGTTGACCCCGTCAGTGAAGCAGCATGGAAGAGCTGGTAGACCAGCTTATTCGCTTCTTCAGCTTTACAAATGTATGAATCTGACACTGGTAAGCAGACTGGTAGAAGTAGAATTGATTTGCTTTTAGTTTTTCACTGCCCACTGCTCGTTGAAGTTACAGCGGACACAGACTCAATTCAATGGTCAAAGCATGGTCATGGTAATGGTCATGGTCAAATTAAATGAACAACGAGTCAAGTCGAGTCGAGCTAATAGGGCGGCGGGCGCCGGGCGCTAACTAAATTGTTCATTGTTTATTTATTATGCACTGCACTGCACTCCGAGGAACATGGAACTCAAGAACAGCGAGCGATTGAAATTCACCCTTGAAGCAGCTCTGCAGCTGGCAACTGGGGATGCAAAAATTGCAGATGATGTTTCCACAGCGCCTGAGCTAGATTTGGTATTCACAAAGTAGTAGGTGAATGGCGAATGGCCAGCCCCAGCTTCCTGTTGCCATAACAACTTTGTAGTTGTAGTAGTTGAAGTACTAAGTACTAAGTACTCTACTCAGACTCAACTCTCCGCAGATTGCTATATCTATATCTCTCTGAGTTTATTTGTCTCTCTCTCTCTCTCTCTACTCTCTCTCTCTCTCTCTTTCTCTCTGTCTGAGCTTGCGTTGCGTTGCGTTGACATGGACATCAATGAATGACAAAAACAAGGTGCTCAATGACGTCAAAGCTCCTAGTGCTCCTACGATGACTCGCGCACGATGGAAGCTGGAAGTACTGAACATGTATTCCAGGCAATACTTTTGGAAGCTGGAAGGCTTCCAGAAGCACTTTGTCAATTTGGTGTATGATGCCACCAAACAACAATCCGAGCTTCTTGTTTGTGAAGAATGGTCCACCAGGCCTGCTCCCACAGTCAACCACTTCTCTGTTGTGTTGCGCTGTACCTGCAGTCACTCAGTCAGTGATGTCTGACTCATGACATTGCATTTGCGAGGATCGAAGATGCCCTCTTGCACTTCAAGGAGGAGATCCAAGAAGAGGAATCAGGGCAGGCATCAGCCAAGCTACAAACAGAACAGAGGATTTTTCCACTTGTTGGCATGGGCAAAGGTTTCTTGACAGAGTGTGAGGTGAGTAGCATGGGGTGGATACATGCATTGGTTGGGATTGGGCCCATGGTCAATACAATAGCAATGGCCAATTTGACAAAATAATTGACAACAACAACTACTACTACAACTACTACACTATAGACTAGACTAGACTAGACTTGACTATACTATACTATACTATACTATACTATATACTATAGTATACTATACTATACTATACTAAGTTACTATACTATACTATACTATAGTTACTATACTACAGTTACAGGCAGGTACTACAGTACTTTGACGCTGACTCTGACTGAGGCTTTTGCCAATTCCCACAGAAGTTGGAGGCTCTCATTCACATCCTCACTCTTGAGACGAACACTGGGAATATGGAGCAAAGTCTGCGCGACTACTGCGAGTCTGTGATTTGCACTTTGAGCGACCAAGGCACCCTGGCGTTCAACTCGAACTCGAACTCGACTCGACTTGACTTAGCCAAGTTAGTCTTGCTTCTTGGACAGGCTTTGACTTTGACTTTTGATTTGATGATTCAATTCAGCAGGCTAATTAGGCTAGGTTCAGCAAGTTCAGCTCAGCTCAATCTCAAATCTAACTGGTATTACTCAACTCCCTCCGTCCCTCCCTCCTTGTTCTCGATGCCTGGCCTCGCCGCCTCAACTCATTTCAACCAACCCACTGCCCACTTGCACTTCTCAGTCTCAGGTACAGAACTCAAACTTGGCGACGCCGTAAATGTGAGCGTGGCAGAGATTTGTCGGGACCGTTCATTGGATATCTTGCAGGCCCTAAACGTGGAACCTCGTGAGCTGGAGGCCGTGCGTAGCCAAGGCCATGGCAATGGGCCTGGGGGGTTGCCTTTAGATCAGTCACCATACTTCCCTGGTTGGAAACCTCATCGCACAGGGTCAGGAGCTTTGGAGGAAGACGTGCCAGCGCTTGAAATGCCTGTTCAAAACCAGGAATTGGAAAGACTCCCTCCGGAAGGGCCTGGCCAATGCCAAGACCAAGGCCATGTAAACAAGCTCTTCCCGAACAGCTTACGATTGTCAGGGGTCAAGCACATTTGCGACAATGCATTGTCATCAATACTCAATGATATCCCTGGGTGCCTTGACTCTTGACTACTGTCCTGACTCCTGACCTTGTTTTATGTTCATTCCGAATTCCGGATTAAGCAACAACAGCATAACAGCAGCAGATTGTTAAAGTGTTTAGTGTTTGCTTATTACTTACTACTTACTGTTACTGCGCTGCCACTGCTACTGTGATTGACTGTGTGATACTATTTACTATTGACTCTTGACACTGACACTTGACTATTATCTTAAGTGACCAGTGACTAGATCAACAACTGTAATATAACTATTGCAATTACTACTACTATAACTATAACCTAACCTAACTACTAACTGCTAACTACATTGTTATATACTCCTCTTACTTACTTGCTTCTACTCCTCCTCCTGCTCTTCCTCCTCCTCCTGAGGTGGCCAGACATATTGAGCAAATTGCAGTCCTTAGACATGCTCCTTGGAAATATCGACTGGCGGCAGCGATTTGTATCAGTGTGCTTGAGAGATCATTCAGAAGAAGAACGTCTGGCCATTTTGAGATGGAAAGGAGCAGGGCTGGGTGGTCTACGGTGGGAGGTCATCTCATCCTTTTGTTCAGAGGTTCCATCCTCAGTGTGTTCTTTAGATATATAGTATGCAATGACGCAATGCTGTTTTAAGCTTTACCGCTGTTTTCTCCAGAAGAGGGACAAAGGATGGTAGGGACAAGTCAGGTCAGGGCAGAGTCAGGTCGGGTTTCTTTCCCTGTCGCACTGCTGCAGCAACAAGCTCAGGTGTTTCCCTTGCAGAGTGTCTTGCGGGGCGGGTGGAACACAAACAACTATATGCGCGGTCTTGACCATGACAGACCATTCCTGGTGGAAGACGGATCAAAAGCACACCTATCTAGAATTGCTGCACTTATGAAGAGCAATTCAACCTGGTCTTACATTGGGCTTATTTGTTGCATTTCCAGGGAAAGTGAGCTCATAGGCTCTTGGTGTGAAGGATGTCCTTGCCACAACTTGGAGATTGAACATTTCGATTTCGAGAGTGTTGTTGCAAGTGCACTTGTGGGAGAGACTGAGACCACTACCGTTGAGGACGGGGTCACCACAGTTGAAATAGATCCCCCACGTTGTAGACCAAGACCTAGAAAAGCTAGAAAGAGCTTCGAGCAGAAAGAAGCTGCGGCTTGCACTCTCAAGTGCTGCCGTGCGCCAGAGCTAGCGATTGGACATGCTCAGAGTCTTCAATGCCAGTTCATGAAGTTGCAGGGGCCATTGTTCAACAAATTGGTTTCCTCCGCCGATGCAAAAGATAGGGGTCTCCTCAGTGCAACATGGACAGCTACCCGCTCCAAATTGTACGGAAGCTCTTCTAAGTAGTAGAGTCATCGTCGTTTTGAGTTGTGTTTGTCAATAGACAGAAACTAGTTGACGTTGACGTTGAGCTGAGA